TTAGGACAAAAAATGTACACTTATTAAAGAGCCCCATGTGTGTTTCCAAAATAAGTTACAAATTTCTCTGTTAAAAGTCAGTGTGATTTAGTGATGTGTGAAAGTATGTAGTTTACTTAAATGAATACCAGGCACTGGGTAACCAAGGACCACAAAGAAGTATTTATTGGTGTCGCCCTCTAGTGTATACAGTTTTTATTTAAGCATTTCTCATTCACATTTAGACTGTTTATATGTATGTGAAAAAAATGGTGTTTAGCTTGTGTTCTTAAAGTGATCCAATTTAGAAATTGAATTTGATAAAAGTAATGAATTATTTTGGAATGGCTTTCGAAATAAGGTGTGAAAAAATAGATGGAAAAAACTTCAAATCATCACATGACAATATGCTTGAAACTGTTAACCGGTTGACCACCTGTTGACCACTTTATAATAAGGATTAGATGCCTACATGTAGGGTGCCAGTGTGATAAACAGGCTGTATGGTCACTGATTCCTCTGGTCATTGATTCCAGACTCTACTTTGTGAGATGAAATTGCAAATCATCCTGTGAACAAAAACTTCTACCCTAGTTTTTCTGCTTACTCACATAATATATTGTCTTTTATTCTTTGATATAGATTCTATTTATTTTTGATCCAAAGGAAATGACTCACAGTTTTCTGTTAAAGCAACGATCCATGGACCGAGTTCATTGATTTGTTCTGTTAGCTGCTGTTTCTGGTTTACCTAAGGGGAGGTCATTGGCAGTTCAGCTAGATTAAAGAAGTTGTTTTAGGTTCTTAAGTGTGGGTCATATACACAGGTACAGGACTGGGGTATAGACAGCCACAGTTCTTAGCCAGTATATCAGTCGTGACCTTTGAGTATTTTCAGAGTTTGGGAAAAAAAAAATGAAATGATATGTTTTGTATAATTTAGGAAATGCTCAGGGTTGTTTACACTATCCTAGATTCATTTTAACATTTGATAATACTTTGATCCTCAACCTAGATGTCTTTTATACAAATAGTTCATCAGATATTAACCCAAAGTAGCTTCATTGGTTTTGATAATGCACTAAAGATTATTATTAAATCTGAGTTGAGAGACTTAACTGATGATTGACTGTTGGAAATATCATACAAACCTGTCTGTTATCCAACGATAATGTTATTTACTGGTATAATGTTAACTTCAAGATAAAACCTGCTTATTCTGACACCCTGTTTTATATGACTCTTTCATCACACATTGTCAGATAAGACATAGGCCATTAATTCAATGCCTCTGCTAGGATTTGAGCTTGAGAACCCTGGTTTACTAGTCTAACACTTAACCAATTAAGCTAAAGTGAAGTTCTCTGTAGCCAAGTTTATTGGCTAATCTCTTACCCCTGGGTTACCAACAGCTTTTGCTTACAGACCTAAGTCATATATGTGACAAACAGAAAAAAGTCAATGATATTGTTATTTAGAATTGTTCTAATGATGAAGGAGTTTTATGTATGTTTGAGTATAGGCAAATTGTTTTCCTAAATTTTAAGGATATCTTTTTATAATGAGAGTGCTTTACACAATACGATAGGTCACTGATATTACTGATCTTGTGTCAGGTATATGTAAGTAAATGATTATCTTGTGTCAGGTATATGTAGGTAAACGATTACCTTGTGTCAGGTATATGTAGGTAAATGATTATCTTGTGTCAGGTATATGTAGGTAAATGATTATCTTGTGTCAGGTATATGTAGGTAAATGATTATCTTGTATCAGGTATATGTAGGTAAATGATTATCTTGTGTGTAGGTAAACGATAAAGTAATGAGCCATGAGCATCTGTATAATATTAAGTAAAGAGAAGATATGTATCTCGTTGAGTTTTAATGTTACAGGATATTGAAGTATTAGACAGCGGTATTGTGCATCCCTGACATATGTCCAATAAATTTGTTTTTCCAAAATGTTTAACCCCATGAAATACTGCAGTTTTACTGTCTAGTAGGCCCCAGAAAGGCACTTGGCCTACTAAACATAACAGCACACCATTGTTCTGGAGTAGACACTTAAGTAAACACTAGTACACAGGAAGGGAGGAGGGTTCTTTTGGTGGGGGATGTGTACCCATGTGTATATAGATGACTGAATGAGATTCATTTCTTATACTAGATTGTCTGTGTATTGGCTTTGTTAGGGACACAAGCCTGGTCAGCTTAAATTAACAGCTCATTGTCAGGTCTTGTCCAGTTTTCTGCACGATGACAGTAACATGATAGCACAGAATTAACAATACAGGTTTGATCCACATGTTACATTTGTATGTGCATGAGGTATTGTAAAAACAATTCAATATTTTGCAATTAGAAGATTTATATTGAATGTAGTTAAGCTGCTACCAGGTAATTCTGAACTAGGACTGTCCGCAGTGAGTAGATTAATTATCTACAAGTGTAAAGAGTGGCATATATATATGTACCCTTGTCAAAATGTAAACTTCAGACTGTTGTACTTAATACCCCAGACTTTACTGGTGACTGTTACCTACACATGACCTCAAACATATATTATCTCATAATATTATGCAAAGAGCTGAGAGCAATGGGTTACTTTCAACTAATCTTAGTGGATATCAAAGTTAAGAATTGCCATTTGCTGTAAAATAAAAGTGGAATTGGAGTGGCTATTTCCATGCAGGATTAACCCTGAGTTATTAATTAAAAGCTTTGTATCAGAAAAATTACCTCAAAATAAAAAAAACCAATCTGTTGGAAAAGTTTTAGGGAAATAGAAAAAATTGGAAGTAATGCAATTCTTAAATGAGAGCTTTGAGTCGTATTTACAAAATCTGCAAATTTAAATATTAATTATCCCTTATACCATATACATGAACTTTAGATAGATGTAATGATCTGTAGTGTACCAGGTATATGTGATTCCAAACAATTATAAAAAATAAAACTAACGACAGTGTCCCTGTGTCAGATATTTTTACTATTACAGAATCTGTCGTTTCAGGGCCAAATATAGTGTCATTTTGCTGCTGTTTGTTGGTAGACTCCCCGCCATAAAAATAGACAAATATTCCCGTTTTCCTCACTGATGAATTTTCAACACTCCTTATGAGAATTTAGTTTTTCTTATTCCATTAAACTTAATCATTCTTATACTTATTTTGTACTGCAAAAAATACCACCAAATGCTTCCAGAATGTATTATTTTATGTCTGTTAAAAGAAAACAAGTCGCTGATGTTTGCCTTCAGCCTTGACTTCCCTTCCGGTCTTGGCTTGCTTCATGCACCTCGGCTTAGGCTTTCACGTCATTTACTCAATTGTTAAGTCTATCTTTCCTCTTTGTTTCTACAAGTGTCTTCTACCCCTAAAACCTAGGTTAATCCTTGTATTTACTGATAGTACAATGCAACCACAGCAGAATGTTTAGGTGTTAGCCTGGTGATAAATATTGGCCTTGGTTACAGACATGAAAGGATGTGTTTGTCTTCAATTTCTATAAAGGTCCTTGAACTCTTCAGTGTTTACAACAAATAATACAATGTGATTGACCTATAATGTAATCGGTTACATGACCCCTACCTCCTTGTCTAATTCGGTCAGTAGTCAGGTAGACAACAGATTTAATACAGTAGTTATTTAATACTGCATTATGAAATTTGTTTTGCCATGTTATTAGTTTGTAGTAGACTGATGGTGAATTTTACGATTGTAAATCTATTATAATGTACATCAACATGATAAAAAGTAAAGCATTCAAGTATCAGGGTCCCTGACCTGTGGTATCTTATCAAATCTCAGAAACAATTAGTAATCTTCTTATACCTTATAAGCATTGCTTTACTGTTTGAAAGTGAAATATGTGAAAAACAGAAACTATACTTAGGGATTTATTTAATCTTTATTCTGAAGTAAGATCAAGAATTAAAATTGAATGGTTTGCTTCAGTTGATGAGTAACATTTAAAATAATTTGGGCCGTTCAAATCTCGTTTGGCCCAAGGTTCATCTTTCTGTAAACAATACTTGTTACCACAATTTTTGAGAAGTCCCAGATTGACCATTTTCAAATTTCATAAGTAGGTTCCCCTCGGTACCTGGTTGTACATTGTCCCATTTTGGGATTGATGCCATAAACAAAACAGCAGATAGATGGCCAGCAAGGATTTTGAATATGGAAATATGTTATCACTATTTCTAGAGAAATACAGGATTGATCTTTGTCAGATTTTACATTATATATGTTCCCCAAGATCATTAGTTGTGTCCTGTTGTCTGTTGGACAGATCAGAAAAAGGATACTTGTTGCCATCTTGTATTTTGAAAATTTAGGACTTTAAACTTACCTTTTTAGTTATATTTCAAATCAAACCTCATGTCAACATCTAATTTTCTAGTGAAATGCTTATTTATCTGTAGTCCATTGAAAATTAATGATATGAACTTTCTTTGTGGACAACTGCTTTTTAGTAAGGACACTGAAAACTGATAACTGTAGCCTGCATTTTTCAAGGCCCTATTCTCAGTTCTTTTGAAGAATTCTCTTTGAGATCTGTCAGCTGTACTACATTTGTTAATCCAGTTTAACTGGTCACATCAGTGATGAACTGAGGCTGATACATTTTATATCATATATCAGTATATATCTATTGAGCAGGTATATAAATAATATGAAGCTGATAAGGGGTCCAATATACCAGAGTGAAACTTGATTATAAACAATTACAAAAATTACAATATTCTTATAAAACAAATGATTCACTTGTATCTACACAAATGAAATTGATTTAACTTCAAAATCCAAAATTTTCGCATTTTCTGTTTTCACTTCTGAGTCAATCTTACAGTATATCATTTTGTTTTGTTTTCATTTGTGACAGAATATTTCACTTTGCCATGGACAGTTTCAGCAGGATGAAAGAAAATACTGCAGAGAAATGGAGAACAATATTTTGAATAAAAAGTCATGTCAGATATTGGAAAGTATCCTTATAAACTTCTTTTTTTTTCAGTTCTCAATCAGCAAAAACCGAAAGTAGTTCCACAGCAGGTTATTCTTCAACAGGTAGTTACACAGCAGGCCATTCAGACAGCGCCATGGCAACCCTCACAACAGCTTGGCCAGCAAATCACAGCCTTGCAGCAGCAAGTTGCCCAACATCAACAGATGATGGAGCAGCAAATCAAACAGAGTGAACAAAATCTGAATGCCCAGTTCCAGAGTCTAACACAACAGCAACAGGTAAGGAATCCCCTGCCCCCACCTACCCAGCTGTGACCCAAGTTATCATGTCTGCTCAGTGATGTGTCAATAGAGTAAATAGATAATACCACATGTCTTTTGTTAAATAACATCACATTCAAATTTAGCACATCAGTTATGACAAATTTATATTCACGTTTGTAAGGAAATCAAAATAATACTTGACAGAAATATCTGTTCAGTAATACTGACAACAGTATTAATGACCACAGTAACTTGCCTTATGATGATGTCACCAATTAACACAAATATCCAACACACTTCCTGACCCTTCCCTACTTTTACAGATTCTGTTTACTGTCAACCGCACATGTCTTTCCCTGCCTCTCCTGTGATCACACACTCCCCCATACTTTTTAATATACCACCAGGGGCCTGATGTCTGAGGCCAAAAAGGGCAAGATGAACTGAAATTAAAATTAAAAAAAAAATCTTCTTTTCAAGACCCAGAATCAAATAATCTTCATGGATGGGAGTGTCTTATTGTGCTCTTCCAAAATTGTGAACTTAATAACCATAGGGTCTCCGTCATTTCTACATATAAATACAATTTGGGCATTATTTGATTAATTTCCATTGGAAACAATTCAAAGTGGTTAGAATTATTAGTAAGAAATGACAATTTGATGGTAAATATTGACCATGACTAACCCAAAGGGCTGATAGATAGGGTCAGATGACATATATTTAAAAAATTTTCTTCTCAAGACCTAGGTATAGTAGAATCAATTGCTCTTCATGGATGAAAGAGTAAGGTGCTTTTACCAAAATTATGAATTTCATGACCCTAGGGTCTTGCATTAATATCGTTCATACAGGTGAAGGATATTTTTGAGCAGAATCTATCGAAGTTCCATTGAGAATAATTCAAACTTGGTTTAAATTACAAGTGTAGGATAATCATTTTATGGTATGCTAATATTAGCTGATTTGCATGGGAACAAGGAACAAAATGTTTCCTCTTCTCAAGCCCCAGGACATGAATCAAATGATTTGTTATATTTCCAATGGAAGTAATACAAATTGTAATTTATAAGACTGATTAACATGGAATATCAATTGATGTTATGCACAGTTTACATTTGCATTACATGTACAATGTAGTTCAAGTTATCCGACTTTGCTAAAAAGATGATAACAATGACAAAAATGACAGCTCTTATAGAACTTTTAGGACGTTCAGGTACATGGGCCTCTTGCATGTCTTTAACTTTATTCTTTGTCATCTGGTCCTGACACCTATTGTCACATGAACATTTTGTTTCAAATAGTAATGCTTCTATCAGTTTTTCTTTATTAAATATTCAAGTTTTAATTTATCTATGTGTCCAGCCTATTTTGAACCCTGTAGTTGTCTTGCAGTTCTGTATGGGCTTATTATTTATTGTTTTTTTTAGAGGATGGAATGGTTCATTCTAATGCAACTCACCTATTAAGACTAGACAGAAGTGGCAGCAATGTCAGTTTGTGATATATTCCGAGATGAATTGTGAGCTTGTCATCTTGACTTAGGGATTAATGAGTGTTTTTTGGGTGGAGGAATACATTAGGATTTACCTGTCATGATTAATCACTAGGGATATGTATGTGATTTGATTGAAGTCTAAAAATTATTTAATTTGCTTGTTTATGCATGTTTCAAATGCAGCAAAATATATTGGAAACCTGTGGTTTTATTGTCTGGTATTTGATAATATATGTGACAAAGACAGATGTCTGACTTAGATTCCCAGTTGTAACAAAGTTAAAAGGTGTACTCTGTCAGCTTGATTATTTGTGTATCAGTGTGCCTATCCTTGTTAATGTCTTTCAGTCGTAAGCTATAATTATGTATATTAATTCTTCTAACCTTCACTGTTTTTAATTGACAAAAAGTTTGATATCACATTATTAAAAGACCGAACATCATTTGTTCGAAAACTGAAGTAGAGTCTTCTTAAAAATAAATATTGCATTTGAAAGACAGTTTTGAAACTCCAATTGATTTAACTAAAATGTCTTAATTAATAACCAGTGAAATTTTCAAAATTCAAAAAGTTTGTTATGCTTTTGTAAGGGAAGCTATAATTAATCATTATGATAGTCACAAATGTGAAAGGGACCTTTCATTTTTTGCAGATCTCTTTTAAAAAAAAACTGGTGATCCCAATAGGGAAATAGATGTAAATCTTTCAAGAGTTGTTTCCTTTAATTTGGATGAAGCCAGTTGAATGATACAGGCCCAATGGGCCCATTGTAATATTGTACTATTTAAATGAATATCAGTATGTTTATTGTAATGACAACAGGATCACAATGCCAGATATATTACAGATAGGATTAGTCTCAACACTCCAAGGAGGTTTCTTGTAATTTACTTGGCAACATGTTTCAATGCTGTCAGGACCTGATGATGGCTGCATAGGGGTTTTAATGTGTCAATCTCCTTAGAGTGTAGAGATTCCCTTTCAGTGTTGGATCTCCCATCATTCATTAATATTAGATATAGAAACAGTTTACAATGGAGATTTCAGGGCAATAAAAAAATGAAACTATTTTGTATAAATGTGAACTCATCTGAACTGTGCTTTAGCCCGAGTGTATGTGACTGTTGTCAGGAAGCCACTCTCAATCCTAGTAATTAGGTATACAAATATCCTGTAAACAAGAAGTTTATCTTAGTCTACTTTTTTTTCTTAGCTCAAGTAACTGCACAGGAGCACGTACATACATACGTTGGGATTTCCCTTCTGTATTTTTTAAGTTGCTGCAGTAATGTATCTGTAATGACTTTCTCCGTTTACTTCCACACATCACTGGATACAACCTTGAGAACAGTCTGCTCAGTGATGGATACTTAAATGAGATAAACAGATTACTTATTCTGATTCGTTACATCAATAGCTATTGACTTTTTCATTTTGTATCTAGACAGTTTTCATTTTCTGTCTTAGGATAATTTCAGACAATTTTCATGTTCTGTCTGAGAGTATTTTCAATTTATATCCTAAGACAATTTTCATTTTCTAAGACAATTTGCAGTTCTCTCAAAGACATTTTACATTTTCTTTCTCTTCCCTTAAAAACTTTTGGGATTCAAGTGTATAAATTGTAACTGTCTTCAGTATTCCTGGAGACTATCATAGATGTGTCAGTACATGCTTGTTTAGAAAAACTTGTTACATCATTAGATATGAGTAATTCAATAGTTAAAGTAGGGAGAAGTAAGGTGAGTGGAATGTTGTAACAGCTGATGTTTCCCAGCCCAACCAGTGACTTCCAACACTAGATATAGCAAGGTTCCTATAATGACTTCATACAGACAAGAAATATATCCAGGTGATGACACACTGCTGGTATCACCTGACCAGGACTCAATTGACTTTTATTGAGTTTCTTACAACTATTTAAGTGATGTCACATTTAATTTAAGTTACCAAGGTGTGACTTACTTTGTAAAGTCAAATTGGTTATGTCTTGAAAATGTAATGTCTCAATTTGATTTCTGAGTAGTTAGAAAAAAGACTTACTATAGCTCTGATGTTAGAATATAATTTTTTCTTAATACACTTGCTGAATAGCCACACCCTGTACAACCCAGTGAGGTTTTAGTACAAAGTAAGATCTAGGGGAAGAGGTCCCTAGCAGACATATAGAAGAAAAATAGACTTAGCAGACTTTTGTTAATTAGAACAAAATTCTCATAAGTAATGATAAAATTTATCAGAGAAGAAAAAGGGGATTTCATGCAGAAAATGGAGAATTTTAATCCATTTTTATGGAGAGGAAATCAGCTGTAATTGACAGCAAAGTGAACCTGCATTGGGCCCTTCAAAGAAAAGAAAATATTCCCGCATTGGTTTGAAACTCTGATAATAGTATTACAATTATGGAATCATGATAGCCATACAACATAATGCAATGTCATTCATGGTTCATACAGATGTATAAAGTTATAAAATTCAACCCTCGCCTTGAAGTCTTGGAATTTGGCATTCATGTCCTTAAAGACCTTGAATTGAAGTATTTAGGTTGTTGAAATGAATATAAAGTGTCATATTTGTCCTGAAATGTGCATAAAAACAAATATCCAGAGTGTCTAGATGACATTGCTTGCTATTTTTGCTTTTCTTTGTTGTAATTTCTATTTGCAATATAAGTCCTCAACAATATAATAGTTTCCTCCCTCAAATGTAGAAAAAAAATCACAAATGATCATCACAGCTAGACAAGTTGTCCCTGAAATGTCTTTGGTTTTAAACGTCTTGAATTTAATAACAGATTAAGTCCATGTTAAGTCTCTCACTATTGATGGAAACTCGAAGTATGCTCAACAGTTAAATGTAGTATATGTAAAATTAAGTATATATTGTTGATATTTCCAGAGTCAGATAGAGGATGCCATTCTAAAGGCAAGAGAGGAACATGTACAGAAAATGTGTGAAGAATGTGAATTAAAGATTGAAGAGTTTGACTCCATGGTACAACCAATCATAGAATCGTGCACGAAGGATGCCATCATGGTTAGTAACATTTGTCCATTAGTTTTGTTGATGTTTTTCCACTCCATATTTATTTCTTATAAACTTAAACAACTCTCATAAATACTTCTACAAGAGGCATGTTTGACACAAAAAGACAATTTTGAATTGAATTTTTGTTTTCGGTATGATGTCATAATCGTTAAGCTGCTGAGGGAATTTAGAATGAAGTCAATCAGCTGTTGTGTGTTAAACTGATCTTTTAATGTATTAGAATAAATATTCAAGGTGAATTATAACTACTGTATTCAAACCACAGATTTTATAGTAGAACATATAAAGTCATTTTCAATTAACTTGTAAGACCTTAGCTCTGAAGTCTTTTTATCTGGTGGTTGATTGTGTGCTTATTTTTTGTTTAGATAATAAATGACATGTTTAATGATTAAAACTTGTTACTATTCAGAAAGCTAGACAGGAATCAAAAGTGTACAGGATGTCATATATTAGGTAGTGAATATTGAAGGATAATTTTTTTTATTTCTTTCAGAATGGCAAAAGTTGGATTTTCCAAAAATGTACATCAGATAAGCATTGTAAGCTTTTGGCTCTGTATTTGTTACAAAGGTGAGCTGACTTTATGATGAAGAATATGTTATATCAAGGCTTCAACTAATTCAAGGGATTATGTATATAAGTATCCATTAATTATCTTATGTTGAAAAGTAGCAAATAAGGGCACTGTTAAGATAGAAAATTTAAAGACCAAGATTCCTTTAAGTAAGTACAATATGGGCAATCCAAACACCTCCATTAACATGGAGGTCTGAACTGAATTTTCTAAAAATTCAGCTTCCACAATTGTTTTGAATTCTTCCAAAATGTTTGGATTCAGATAGGGTTCCTTTTCCAGAGTTCATTGACTGTTACATAGTGTCAGAGGTTGCTGATCTGTATTGACTTGTAAGATCACCACTGTCATGTAGGTTCCACACTCCTCAAGGATCATGCGTAGGTGACTCGCCAACTTCATACTGTGACAAGCATATCATCCAGTCCGTTAAGTCAGTGTAATCCTCTTTTTGTCTGATACCTTCTAGAGGAAGGCCTGTTATCTCAGGGTTGGCAGTGACATCACTTTCACCTCGGTCTTTAACCTTTCAATCAAGAAGTTGATTGTAAAAATGAATGTAACTCTATGAAGTCATGACTATGTTTCTGTTTCACTGGAAATCTATGACACAAGTTTAAGGATTTTATTTAAGCAATGTCCTGTAAGGAAAAACAAAACCATTTAATGATATGGCATCGTATAAAAGACCACAAGATTAAGAACATTTGTCACTGTTTTTCTGGTCGTTACTGTATAAAGATATTGTCCTGGCTATATGTCTCCATTGTCCATTCTATATGATATACCATATGCCCCAGTATATATACCAGTTAGTCATAGCTATATTAATACAGTATCTGTGTACTGTTCAAAGAAAAATATACGTAGCATTAATTTTACATAAGGTTAAATATAATCCTATACTTGTTTATGCTTACTGCTTTGTTTGCAGCTGCACATAGCACCTGTGATGTTAAAAGACATGTATTTTTAGATTGTGTTGAGTAGTAAACAGATCATATATATTGTCTGTCACATTGCAATACACATGCTTTTCATGGTGATCACACGGCTGTTTTGTTTACATGTAGAGAGACTTATGTGTTGATTGATGGTAGATGGAGAGGTTTTAACATGTATATATAGAGGTGGAGAGGTTTTAACATGTATCTATATAGAGGTGGAGAGGTTTTAACATGTATCTATATAGAGGTGGAGAGGTTTTAACATGTATCTATATAGAGGTGGAGAGGTTTTAACATGTATCTATATAGAGGTGGAGAGGTTTTAACATGTATCTATATAGAGGTGGAGAGGTTTTAACATGTATCTATATCGAGGTGGAGAGGTTTTAACATGTATCTATATCGAGGTGGAGAGGTTTCAACATGTATCTATATCGAGGTGGAGAGGTTTCAACATGTATCTATATAGAGGTGGAGAGGTTTTAACATGTATCTATGTAGAGGTGGAGAGTTTTTAACATTCATCTATATAGAGGTGGAGAGGTTTTAACATGTATCTATATAGAGGTGGAGAGGTTTCAACATGTATCTATGTAGAGGTGGAGAGGTTTCAACATGTATCTATATAGAGGTGGAGAGGTTTTAACATGTATCTATGTAGAGGTGGAGAGTTTTTAACATGTATCTATATAGAGGTGGAGAGGTTTTAACATGTATCTATATAGAGGTGGAGAGGTTTTAATATGTATCTATATAGAGGTGGAGAGGTTTTAACATGTATATATATCGAGGTGGAGAGGTTTTAACATGTATCTATGTAGAGGTGGAGAGGTTTTTAACATGTATCTATATAGAGGTGGAGAGGTTTTAACATGTATCTATATAGAGGTGGAGAGGTTTTAACATGTATCTATATAGAGGTGGAGAGGTTTTATTATGTATCTATAGAGAGGTGGAGAGGTTTTAACATGTATCTATATAGAGGTGTAAGTTTGACAGATGATGAATTATGAAGGTCTCAAATATTTCCAGATATTGGACATGAAATGTTTTGCATTACTGGAGTTTATTCTTTCTCAGAAAATACATGTGCACCCACAAAACTGTTCTACTACACATGTTTCAGGCCTTGAGATGTGAGTTTGTTACAATGACTGAAAGTGTTTTTGATATTTTAGTAATATTCCATTGTCTTCAGTTTTACTACAATTATAACTGTGACCTTTCCATTAGAGAAGTTAGATACTTTCATGTACAAAAGGGACTTTAATTTATTTCATTTTGAACTTGTCTGATTGAACCTGGAACTGATTATCAATGTATATCACAAAAAGTGAACATTTTAGTGAACAAAACATGTAGATGTTTCTCTGACTGCCACCGTGATGTTGACAATCAGTAATTTAATTTTTATGTGTAGGAAATGAAAACATATCGTCCTAAAATGAAACTTGACGATGTTTGATTATTAGTCAAGCTTAAAAAAAAATCAATTGATTTGTATACATATATGTATTACATGTGTTTAAAAGTGCAGCTTGTATACAGGAGAGTCCAACATCAATATATAGGTATGCATTCCGACACAAAAGTAATCCTGATAAATCATTATCTACCTATTGTGGTGTAAAGATAGAATGATAATACAATTTTGTTTATAAAGGACACAAATAGTACAATTGATTTGGACTGACCAGGTGAGAAATACAGCTGTTGATAAGTCTCAGTGACCTTTACCTCAACATACACAGATATGCTGTTGAATACTCAGGTCAAAATAAATGAAATTTATCTCTCAGAAGGAGGCAACGAAATCCTTGTTAATCTAATCAAATAACTCTTTGTCATTTCTAAAGTGAGGCTGAGAATTATAAATCTTGTCAGTTTAGAGAAACCTTTGTACCAAATTTTTGAAATGTCTAAAAGTTAAGCTAACACATTTCGTATTAACAGTATAATAATAGTGTGAATTAAGACAAATTTACCTGCTCTACTGTGTAACTAGTGGCAGTTTCATTCTTCCATATAATAAATTATTGTCTATGGAAATTTTGATAAAAACACGGTCAAGAAAATGTAATGATGTTTTCAGAAGTGAAAAACTGAAGATGAAAAATACATTCTCTCCAAAATACTGGACTAAGCAAATAAAGAGATGTTTGTCTAGTCAGCATTGTTACCTCAGTGATGTCCAGTTCACCTTCACAGCTGACCTTGACTTTCTATGTTAGGATAAATGACGTTGTCCTACCTGTCATTTAGCAGTCAGCCAGACATTTATTGAATGATAACAACTCTAGGTCGTTCTTTATCTAACATAAATATGACGTTTCTCGTCTGTATGTAAACATTACTTGTACATCATAAAACTACTGGTAAACATGTTTGTTTGATTTCATTCGTAGCAAAAATATAATTAGGTTTTCTCAAAATCTATTTAGTATGTGTAATGCGTATATCTAAGGACTTGAATTACGTAGTGTACTATGCTATTATTCATACGCAAGTGAAAGGTTTACTTACAAAACACTGTCATAAATCAAACACATGGCTGTCATTATCATTTTTATGTCATACTTACTGGTACTGTAGAGTTCATTTGTACTAGAAGAATTGTTGAACATTGTGTCCACCCTAAAAGTTTTATAATTATTTTATTTCTATATTTATACTTTTTTTGTCTGTCAGACAATCGTCTAAAGATATACCAGGAATCTACTTAAGATAGTATCTGTCAATTATAATTAGATAGAAAGTCAGATCCATGGACGGATATCTACAGTATGATAGAAATATTTATAAGTAAACTCTTACAAATGTTAGACATCTGATATATGTATAAAAGTAGCCTTATTCTGTCCCGGTTGAGGTACCTTGTTACAGTTTACCCTAGTGTCATTATAACGACTCTAACAGAATATTGTTATATCTTTATATGCTGAGCACTAGATAACATTGTGATGGAAAACGAATAGTCAACAATATCTGGTGTGATGAAACAAGATCACCCCTATACATTACAATCTTTTGTGTTTTATTTGCAGAATATGTGCCAAGGATGCAAGATTTGAGACCAAACTTCACCTCATTTACCTAATAAACGACCTTCTTCACCATTGGTAGGTTGTAAAGATACTGTATCAATGCATGTGTCTTTATTTTTTTTTTCTCTAAAGAAAAAGATATAGCGGAAAAAGAACTTGAATTTGTTTAATGGGGAAATGCTGAAAACAAAAAAATCTTACGTATGATAAATTAGTTAATTTTTCAAGCATTTAATAAATTCTGATTTTTCCCCATTAATACTTTCCTATCATTTTGTCATTACAACCAAATCAAGATCTACTGCATTACCAAATAACATGATGTAAGATGCACTGAAGGACATGACAAACAAACTCCTCAACATTAAATGAAATATCTTTATGAGCTGGTGATCACAGTTTTTAAAATGATGTCACAATACAGGTGAAACATTCAAACTTTTTATGCTAGTGAATAAGTTAATAAGTTGTCTACTACAATATCAGATGTAATATTAGTAACATAGTAAGTAAGATCACTGGAGCTGCATTAAAAAATAACTCTTTTAAGTTGATGTATACCTGGTATCAGGCTAACTCACTGTTACAATTACGTTGACACTGAAGTATACATATCTTATGTGAGAGCGTCGGAATGTGTACTACCTTACTGTGACGTAGAGACTTCAGATTGATGTATGTTATATTACTGTGGCATTGAGACTTAAGGGTGTATGTTACTTTACTGTGATGTAGAGACTTCAGATTGATGTATGTTATCTTACTGTGGCATTGAGACTTAAGGGTGTATGTTACCTTAATGTGACTTAGAGACTTAAGGATGTATGTTACCTTTCTGTGATGTAAAGACTTTAGATTGATGTATGTTATCTTACTGTGGCATTGAGACTTAAGGATGTATGTTACCTTTCTGTGATGTAAAGACTTTAGATTGATGTATGTTATATTACTGTGGCATTGAGACTTAAGGGTGTATGTTACCTTTCTGTGATGTAAAGACTTTAGATTTATGTATGTTACCTTACTGTGACATTGAGACTTTAGGGTGTATGTTACCTTACTGTGATGTAGAGACTAAAGGATGTATGTTACATTACTGTGATGTAAAGTCTTTAGATTGATGTTTGTTACCTTAATGTAACATTAAGACTTAAGGATGTATGTTACCTTACTGTGACATTGAGACTTAAGGGTGTATATTACCTTACTGTCACATGGAGACTTAGAGGTGTATGTTACCTTACTCTGATGTGGAGACTTATGGGTTTATATTACCTTACATCCTCAATACTCAAAGGGTTACAATCACTTTCTCTCTCTGCACTCCTGGAACATGTTATGGTTATTTGAAGGCACACGTGAAGTAATTTGATTGGTTCCAGGAGAAAAAAATTAACCAATCACAGGCTGATACATTCCTTTTGAAGATTACAAAGAAGCCATACTCAACTTCAAAGCGATTACAATATACTATTATGCAACATCAAGATTCAGTTAATGTACATCAGAGGATCAAACCTGTTTTTTGTCTTGTTCACAAGCTGTCGCACTTGAAATCTTCAATTTTGCCATGACATGTTCAAGGGATGCAGACAGCGAAAAGATTGCAACCCCTAGAGTATTGAGGATGATTACCCTACTGTGACAGGGAGACTTAAGTGTATTATGTTATCTTACTGTTACAAGGAGACTTAAGAGTGTGTGTTGCCTTGTGCGAAATGGAGACTTAAAAATTTTTAAGGGTGTATGTTGCCTTGCTGTGAAATGGAGACTTTAACATTTTTAAGGGTGTATGGTGCCTTGCCGCGAAATGGAGACTTTAACATTTTTAAGGGTGTATGTTGCCTTGCTGTGAAAGAAGACTTTAACATTTTTAAGGGTGTATGATGCCTTGCTGTAAAATGGAGACTTTAAAATTTATTTTATCTTAGTGGAATATGGAGAATTAAGGACTCCGGTTGTGTTACTGTGACATTGAGACATAATTATGTATACAGCCTCACTGTGACACTGAGACATAAGGATGTATAAAACCTCACAGTGACACAGAGACATAAGGATGTATACAACCTCACAGTGACACTGAGACATAATGATGTATACAACCTCACAGTGACACTGAGACATAATGATGTATACAACCTCACAGTGACACTGAGACATAAGGATGTATACAACCTCACAGTGACACTGAGACATAATGATGTATAAAACCTCACAGTGACACTGAGACATAAGGATGTATACAACCTCCCAGTGACACAGAGACTTAAGGATGTATACAACCTCACTGTGACACTGAGACATAAGGATGTATACAACCTCACTGTGACACTGTGGTCCGGTGGCGCAGTGTTAACGCACTCGCCTTTCACCAAGCCGACCGGGGTTCGATTCCCGGAACGGACGTGAAAAGGTAAGGGGCCACACGTGGGTTTCACTGTGACACTCGCGCGCTTACATCCGGGCCAACAAGAGTGATTAGTATAAGTTGACATAACTTGTTTCGCAATTGTTGTAAAATAAATAAAGTTTATATATACTGAGACATAAGGATGTATAAAACCTCACTGTGACACAGAGACTTAAGGATGTATACAACCTCACTGTGACACTGAGACATAAGGATGTATACAACCTCACAGTGACACTGAGACATAAGGATGTATACAACCTCACAGTGACACTGAGACATAAGGATGTATACAACCTCACAGTGACACTGAGACTTAAGGATGTATACAACCTCACAGTGACACTGAGACATAAGGATGTATACAACCTCACAGTGACATTGAGACATAAGGATGTATACAACCTCACAGTGACACTGAGACTTAAGGATGTATACAACCTCACAGTGACACAGAGACTTAAGGATGTATACAACCTCACATTGACACTGAGGCATAATGATGTATACAACCTCACAGTGACACAGAGACATAAGGATGTATACAACCTCACTGTGACATTGAGACATAAGCATGTATACAACCTCACAGTGACACTGAGACATAATGATGTATACAACCTCACAGTGACACTGAGACATAAGGATGTATAAAACCTCACAGTGACACTGAGACATAAGGATGTATAAAACCTCACTGTGAGACAGAGACATAAGGATGTATAAAACCTCACTGTGAGACAGAGACATAAGGATGTATAAAACCTCACAGTGACACTGAGACATAAGGATGTATACAACCTCACAGTGACACTGAGACATAAGGATGTATACAACCTCACTGTGACACTGAGACATAAGGATGTATACAACCTCACAGTGACATTGAGACATAAGCATGTATAAAGCCTCACTGTGACACTGAGACATAATGATGTATACAACCTCACTGTGACACTGAGACATAGGGATCATATAAGTACCTCATCATAGCATAAAGACACAAGAATGTGTGCTAGTTGACTGTGATATAGAGACATACAAATGTGACAAATGTCCATTCCTTTCTGAAAGACTTCCACAATAGTCCTGTGTCATGTTTAAGTGTAATCTGGAAATTGTTTGCTGAAATGATATTGATTATAAAAGAACTTGAGGGCAATCTTGAAGAGCTGTTTGACTTATGATATAACCTCTTATTGTAAACTTTATTTAAGATATGATGAGCGTCGGGGTAGAATCCATCATTCTGAGTGATATTTACTTTGTCATATGCTCTGTGTCTCAATCCTTTTAGCTCAATCATGAGGCAATGATTCATCATGTTCAGGAAAACCTTAAGAGTTATTACTACCAGATATAATGCAGACATGTATCTAACATATACTGATAATGTTGATGATTTATCTCTGGTAGAGTACTATATTTCTGAGAATTGACTGATCAACTTGTTATCAGAAATCCATAACAATTAACTGATGATTGATAATCATTTACTCCAGGAAAATATTAACATTTTGTTTAAATAATCATAAAGAAAATCAAAAATTAAAAAGAAATTGCATGACTCTTCAAAATGTTGTGTGTGATTAGATTTAAAAAAAATATTATTGTTTATTTTTGGAAATAGTAAAGTGACCCTGTAATTTACATTTTTCCTCAAGTAATATGTTAGTGAATCAAAAATTTAATTTAAAAAAGGATTTGATAGTAAATATGTTAATGATTACATATTTGAAAATTTAGTTAAATATGATCGTCTTTCTAGTAATTATTTTAAACTTTTTTTGCCCCTGGCATTTTTTTGTTTTTGTTTTGGTTGGGGGAGTGGGGTAGGGATAGTGGGGGAGATGTCATGTTTCTCCATTCATCCTGTTGTGTCCTTTTTTGAATCACTGTCATATGTAGAGAACCTTTCAACCGACACTTACTGGTATATGCATGGGAATCGGGAAATTCCCATTTTCTACAGATATTTTGGGCTGTAAGCACAAGTCTTTCCTGTAATTTGTAAAGACATGCCACTGATATCAGAAAGTAAGAACTGTCCTTTCAATGGCATACTGCTATCAGTACTGTTTCTGGGATCATTGACTCCAAAGGTTAACAAGTCTTCTTGAAGAAAACTTGATATAAAACTGATAGTCAACTCTGTATGGTCGTTGTTAGGGATTTTGATAGAAATGTCTGGCATTAGAAAAATGCAGATCAGTTTGTGTTTTAAAGTTCCAAGGTCAAGTTCAAAATTATACTCGATAAAAAAATGTCATTTTGATAGAACACCAAATGTGTGTGCTGGTGAAGGGAGCATGTTGTTAGTGACTTTTTAATTTGATTGTGATGTAGTTTCACATGTTTAATTAACATGTATGATGGAAAGGCATTTTTTCACTTGACTACATTTATGCAAAATTTGAATTAACATATTTTCTGGGTTATAAGCCTTGACTTTTTTCCTTGGCGGTCGGGCATGCAGCTTATATACTGATGCTGCTTATATACTGATGTGGCTTCTGATGCGGCTTATATACTGATGCGGTTTATATGTGGATGAAACAATCAGCAGAATGAGTAAACAAAAAAAATATGAAGAGAATTGTGTGGACATTGGTTCTGGACTGTTATGTTTTTCTGAACGGCCATTTTGTCGAGGCGTATCACATTTACTGTTGACCTACATGACCTTTCATCCTGATAATTGTAGTTGCTCTAACTTGTCATGCTTCCAGAAAGAATAAAAAATATAGTGATTTAAACCAAGGATACCAGTACACCAGTACGAGACGTCTGTACCAAGTTTTTTACAAGTCCTTGACCATCACGTGTTTGTCATTGAAACAGATCTAGAACTGTCATTTGCAACCATGTACAGGATGATTTCAAGATTGAAATAAAAAATAGCATTCTTTTGGATTTAATTAATCATACCTTTTAATATGAATCACAATAACATCTTCTGAACTTTGATTGCTTCAGAAGGCAAAGCGGAAGTTTACGATAGCCTGTTACATCCTGAAATCAATAGGTCATTTGGTTATAGGTAAAATTTTAGAATGAATGCCATGTTTGTTTACAATAAGAATGGCTTCGTGTAACTTACAAGGTATAATATAGGACTATAAGAATTTTGTCAGCATGCAAGGGCCCTAGCTAATATTTAACCGTAAAGACACTGATTGAAATATTGTTAAGTAAACCGTACGTAAAGTCAGGCCCTATATCTGTGAGTATAGACAATCTTTGAAGGCTCCCAAGCTAAACAAATTGGTAATAGCTATTTTATGTTTTTGAAACACATCAATGAAATAAACGATTATCTGTGTATAATTCATCTCCAAACTTATGTTAAATGTTTCAGTGACAATCTTGATAAAATCTGCCTTATTTCGTCTCTTACATCAACAAATATTTGTCAAGATAACGGTTACCACATCAAAAGAAAGGGTGCAGCTTATATCCCAGTGTGTCATATATGTGGATTGAATCAAAATAAATCACTAAAAACCAGCCCTGCAGCTTATACTAGGATGCCATTTTTGGGCCGGAAAATATGGTATATTTATCAATATACTGTAAGTGTATTTGATTCGATGCAATCAAATTCTAGCACAGTATCTTTTTTTAGGGTATAATGCTGCAGTTATGAATTAGGACAATAATTGGTATATAAACAAATACATAAAGTAAACTGCAATTAGTGCTGTAATATTCAAGCACATAATTATCTGCATCAAAAGCACTAAGACAAAATTACTACTGAAATATGTCAATTACTACTGAAATATGTCAATTACTAGTGAAACATGTCAATTACTTACTGAAATATGTCACAGTACATGTTAATGTTTTCATACAGGTGTTGAATATCCTGTCCAAATTTCTTTTTCATGCAGGTGTTTGTCTCTTCTATCATAAGACAAATTTTCCATCATCCAACAATGGCATACTTTTTTGTCTGGTATCAGTTTAATGATTAGAAATTATTCATTTGATATGAATACTTCCTGCAGAAAAAAGATGTATGAATTATTTTTCTAATGTATGCGGTTAATATATATAAAGTGTCTTTTCTTTTAAAAATTACATTTGTTTTGTTGGTCATTAAAGTCAGGTGTGGCCTGTTTATTAATCTTAGCATCCAATCAGATGCATGAACTTGTGTAATATCTGTCACCTTAATTGATCATGATGCACACTTCTTTGGTGTGAAGAATGCAGGGGATTTTCATACTTTCCACCTGTAAGTAAGATGTATTGTAGATGTCATGTTGTTTTGTGGATGCCAAGGAACTTATTGAAACACTTATTCACATCAAACTACATACAGTATAGCCAGTTATTTTTCATAGGATATTTTCATCATTTTGCTGTACCTTCTACACAGAATTAATCACAAAAATTTAATCTATGAGGTAATAAGACACCTGTGTATTAGATTTTACATCCAGATCACAAAATTTTAATTAGTTAAAACATAACTGGTTTGTAAAGGTCGGTGGAAGGGTTGTAGAATGGTATACATAAATTAGATATCTAGTGAAGTTGTATAGGAAGGTTGAAGACTGACCACACACAGGTACAGTATAGAAGTATAGATCTGGGATGTCTTTAACAGAAACACTACCAAGTCTATTTGTATGTCATATACTTGTCAGATGATGTATTCCTAAGTTGACAACGAAGGCGCATTCTTGTCATATCATCACAAACAATTTCTGCAGCGGAAAACGTGACTTGAAATCTCGTGTTTCAGGAAATATTTTTCTATAAAATAATGCATGAAATATAAGTACATGCAAATTGGTAATAATTAGGCTGATAGAGTGAGAGGCAACACCCACCTACATTATGTATTTCATAATAGTAATTAAATATATTGACACAATCACTTCTTTGTTTTCAAGTTGTTAATGTTTGAAGATTATAAAGTTATCATTAGTCAACACCCAGGTAAAGTTTTCTTTGGTTCAAGAGTGCTAATGAGACTTTATTTTTTATTTATTATTTCACACCATCAAGAAAAAGTGTACTGAATTTCATTAACAAATAAACCGTGTTACTCTATCCAGTTTACTGAACAAGTAAACCCTGTTGCTTTACGTAATTTACTGAACAAGTAAACCAAGTTAATTTATCCAGTTTACTGAACAAGTAAACCATGTTACTTTATCCAATTAACTGAACAAGTAAACCATGTTACTTTACCTGTTTACTGAACAAGTAAACCATGTTACTTTACCTGTTTACTGAACAAGTAAACCATGTTACTTTACCTGTTTACTGAGCAAGTAAACCATGTTACTGAACAAGTAAACCATGTTACCTGTTTACTGAGCAAGTAAACCATGCTACTTTACCTGTTTACTGAGCAAGTAAACCATGCTACTTTACCTGTTTACTGAGCAAGTAAACCATGTTACTTTACCTGTTTACTGAACAAGTACTACTTGACCATGTTTACAAAGTAGGTTAGCCCTGCTACTCTATGTCAGCTGATTACGAAGTTAGATTATGATACTTGTTTACTGAGTTTGGTCACTGGTTATGGTTTTCATTTAGTTAACCTAACTAGTTCACTGAGGTAGTTTTATTAACTGAGACTCTTTGCCATCTGAAACAATATTCAACTTGTATATTGACCTTGATGCTGACCTTGATCTTAATGTTGATTCTTTACTCTGACATTTATATTAACCTCTGTGCTGTCCTTGATGATGATGTTGACCTTGACTTTGGTGTTGATGTTGACCTTGATAATGACCTTAACATTGATGATAATATTGACCTTGATGTTGGTTTCTTCACTGTGTTTTAGTCAGAGGAAGAATGCTGATGATCTGAAGGAACACCTGTCTGATATAGTGGTTCCAGTGTTTTGTACAGTCAGCTTGGGACTTGCAGAGGACAAGAAAAATAAACTTACAAAGGTAACAAAAAACATAAAACTGACCTATATTCTTTCATTGTTTACAGATGCCAGGGAACAGAAAGTCTATAAAAAGGTTCTGTAGCCATTCTATATTGGTAGAGAACAAAATCTGTATTGGTAGGGAACAAAATCTGTATTGTATAATGTCATATTATATATTGGTAGAGAACAAAATCTGTATTGTATAAAGTCATATTATATATTGTATAAAGTCATATTATATATTGGTAGGAACAAAATCTGTATTGAACAAAATCTGTATTGTATAAAGTCATATTATATATTGGTAGAGAACAAAATCTGTATTGTATAAAGTCATATTATATATTGGTAGAGAACAAAATCTGTATTGTATAAAGTCATATTATATATTGGTAGGGAACAAAATCTATATTGGTAGGGAACAAAATCTGTATTGTATAAGTCATATTATATATTGGTAGAGAACAAAATCTGTATTGTATAAAGTCATATTATATATTGGTAGGGAACAAAATCTGTAATAAAGTCATATTATATATTGGTAGGGAACAAAATCTGTATTGTATAAAGTCATATTATATATTGGTAGGGAACAAAATCTGTATTGTATAAAGTCATATTATATATTGGTAGAGAACAAAATCTGTATTGTATAAAGTCATTTTATATATTGGTAGGGATATATTGGTAGAGAACAAAATCTGTAAAATCTATATATTGGTAGGGAACAAAATCTGTATTGGTATATTATATATTGGTAACAAAATCTGTATTGTATAAAGTCATATTATATATTGGTAGGGAACAAAATCTGTATTGTATAAAGTCATATTATATATTGGTATGGAACAAAATCTGTATAAAGTCATATTATATATTGGTAGGGAACAAAATCTGTATTGTATAAAGTCATATTATATATTGGTAGGGAACAAAATCTGTATTGTATAAAGTCATATTATATATTGGTATATATTGGTAGGTCATATTATATATTGAACAAAATCTGTATTGTATAAAGTCATATTATATATTGGTAGAGAACAAAATCTGTGTTGTAAAAATATATTGTCAAAATCAATGTTTATATATTGCTAGGAAATAGAAAAAGTTGTATATTGATTGTGATATTTGTCATATTATATATTGGAAATAAAAGTGTGTTAAAGTCATATTATATATTGCTAGGAAATATTGTATAAAGTCATGTTATATATTGTGATATTGCTAGGAAATAGAAAGTTGTTAAGATTGTGATATTTGCTAGGAAATAGAAAGTTGTTAAGATTGTGATATTTGCTAGGAAATAGAAAGTTGTTAAGATTGTGATATTTGCTAGGAAATAGAAAGTTGTTAAGATTGTGATATTTGCTAGGAAATAGAAAGTTGTTAAGATTGTGATATTTGCTAGGAAATAGAAAGTTGTTAAGATTGTGATATTTGCTAGGAAATCATTCTAGATTTTATTGTGACTACTAACAGGGAGAAATGCGTAGCAGTGCAGTTACAGTCAGACTTTTAGGTTGTGGGTCATTCATTTATGGTGTATTATGGCCTTTAAATGTCAGGTCTCTTGTACCTTGTTGAATGATAAATGTAAATGTCCAGTCTCCCGACATTTAGTGAAAAAAACCCTAAAAAAATCCCTATTATTCTGCTTGAATGAGGTAGAGATTTTGTGTGGTTGTTTTAAGTGAAGCAGAAAATCAGTATAATTTTTACACAATTTCATTTGTGAAATTAAAAGTAAAAACCAGATGACATCATTTAGTGCATAAAATTCAGCATCTAGCAATACTAGTATTCTCATTATAAAAAGATCTGTAAAAAAACATGGATATGAGTGGTTCAGAAGTCATGGTGATAGTGAATAGTTGTTTGTGAACCTTGACAGTAGTGATGACAGATAATTATTGTTGCTGTGATACAATCAACGTGTTAGTGATGATTGATTTCATTATGTGGTGATTTTATCAGTAGTTCCTGATTTCTAATTGATTAAGTTATTCATTTAATATTCTAACCATTAAAAAAATACCAAGACATTGAGAGTGAGAAAGGTCCGAGGGACGACAGAACAGGATTAATGACACTATATATGTTTTTTCCTGCTGTGTATACTAATGAGCATTAAGTAGAATGTAGTGGTTATGGAAGTGATGTTACAGCTCATTACTTAGTATCAATAATGGCTGTGAGTTGTAAAAAACAGACCTTCACATGTCCTATTTAGGTAGTAAACAATACAGAATTACTCTGATCCATCAAGCAACATAAACAATATCCCCCATAATGGTTCTGTACAGATCTCAAAAAGCCGAAAATTTACTTACTATTGTAAAAGTTCTTTGAACACTAGGATCTCTTGTGGATGAAAATCCAGCTGAATTTATTATCATTTACATACAGTCATAGACTGATTTATTTACCTGTTTACAGAAGATTTATTTTCAGGATCACACCTATCTATAGACGAGTGTTCTAGCTTACTTATAGATTGATTTACAGTGATAGACTTTGAAGGGTTACTTCTGACCTGACAATACTAGGGACCTGAGTATTGACATTTTCTAGTCCATCCTGACTCTTCATGTTATATAATATCCCAATTCAGAATAATTATAACAACAATGTGATGCTTAACAAATTTCAATCTTACTTCAAACCAGGCTCAAGAATGAGAGTCATTTCACTGTCAGACATTTTTTTCCAAGGGTAACAAGTGCAGGGTCATCATTACTTTTAAGAAAAATTTAAAAACTCTGAAACTAGTTGATGTCAGTTGAAGAAGTTCATGTATCAAAGACATTTTGAGGTTATGTTTAAAAATGTCTTCTTGTTTCTCAAAAAGAAAGTGTTAGAGTCAGCTATAGAGTATAATTGTCCATGTTATGTATAGAATATTTCAGGAAATGTCACTCTCTTCATTGGTATCATAGACATAGCATTTGTAATGTAAAACTTCCAATTATTTGCTGAGCGTGAAATGTTATCTTATATCCAACATTTCAATTACAAACCTCTTCTAGTCTCCTTAGAATGTTAGCCATGACAATTTAACATTATGATGACATTTGCTTGGTCAGCTTTGTATTAACTAGGCTTTGGTTAATTCTGTGATTCTGTGCATCACCTATATAGCTAGTCAGGGACATATTTCATATAACTTTATTTTCATCTTTTGCTTTGAGTGGGCAGAGTATCATGTATTTAGTTCTAACTTGCACACTACATGCAAATACAGAGTTATTGCCCTTGGTTCATATTTCATAAACAAATTTAACTTCAATTCAAGTACTGGCTGGTTTGTACTACTCTTTTGTCTCATATCTATATTCTGTTATTCTCAAGTATGTTTCTGTAACATTTTCCAACAGTGATATTTATAAAACAGATTTACAGTGCTGGAGCGACTAGCTCTGATATTGTACACAACAGCAGCTACATACATTGATATTCTATCATGCTCAGAAGTAATGGTATTGTGCTTGATATTGAATCTTAAACAATTAAAACCTATACTATGACTTTGTAAAGTAATTATAGAATTCATAGTAACTTTAACATTTCCTGAAGGTTTAAATGCTCCTACAGGTAGGCATTCATATTAGTATGTCAGCAGAGTGTTACAACTTTTCCTGAAGCATATTCCACATTTAAAGTTGATGAAAGTTAAGTAGGACATTCATTACAATATTGCACTGATGTTTGCTTTTACTACAAAGAGAATTATTCATATTTGTCAAGTAAGCTGACACTTTGAGATAATCACTAAGTTTGTGTGACTTCTACTTATTAATATTTATCAGTACGTAGGTGTTACTGTAATGGACAACCTTCAAATTTGCAGATTTCATTTACATGATCATTGAAAAGGATGGTGCTTCAGACAATGATCATTTTGAATGAAATCATTAACTAAATATTTATAGTAATAGATTCTAGGTGAGATCAAAGGACTTTCTTGTCAAAAATTTGTTAGGGTTTGAAATCCAATTTAGAAATATCGAGATGTTTTCTTCCTTATTACCCTATACAAAAAGTCTGAACTCGACAAATGACTGATGACCTTGACACATGAATTTTTGTTATTTTTAGAGTTTTGAGATTTAAAAAAAAATACTCTTCTTCAATTACGCGAATTGTTCAAATTTGTGAGTGGTGGTTTGAACCTTTCTTATTCATATGTAGGGGTGCATTGATATGGGTGTCTCCAAATTTGATTTTCATCTCACAATTTGCTTAAATTCTAAATTCATAGATAGGCTATTTGACTATTAGTGATTAACAATACAATAACTGCCATCCTGTATGTGACCATTATGATATCAATATTGTTTGCGAGTTATAAATCTGTTCATGTTTGAACTTATAGTAGATCTAATAAGCTGTATGTATTGACATAGAGAAAATGATTGCAGTTCCCCTTCCCTAATACTACAAGTCATCTTGTGATTAACAGATTAGGACAGCATCAACGTAGTAATTTAGTTATCTAGTTATGATGAAAACACATGTTTTAATCTCAAAATAGATATGGCACCTGAGTATTTGAAAGTTTGTCATTTTATCATAAAGATATAAAACATTCCCTGAAACCTCTATGTCAAATGATGAGTTTCCTTCAAAACATGTAAAGGTACATAATATATCGATATATCGGTATCTTACCACTATTCAAGTGAAAGAAACCTAGGGCCTGACCTAAAAATAGAGTGGAGATTGACAGGATTAGTGGTTTTGTAACGGAAGACCTGCGTTACCAGGAAGAAGCAGTGGACCAGTACACTGTTACTATTAATCATATCCCAGTGATGGATACAACATAATTATTCCTACAACTGTCGGTGTCTGATTTATAAAGGTCGCAAAGATTGAAACTTTTATAAGAGCGATTTGAATATTTATCATTTTACACAAGGAAGGATGTATAAGTTTTTTAGAAAAAATTGTGTATTAAGTTAAGGTCAGTGAATACACAAATAGCCCTACTTTCACATTTGATGTAACAATATGTGCCAATGACCTCTAATACACATCAGTCCATCTGTTATATAATTCTATAAATAAATTTGGTAATGCACTCAACTGCTTGTGTCTGTGGGTATTTGACCTTGGTTCACTAATAACAACTGTGAAAGTTTGACCTTGGTTCACCATTTGCAAATGTGAATGTTTATACTTGGTTCACCACAAACAACTGTAGATGTCTGACCTTGGTTCAAGGCTAACAACTTTGGGCTTTGACCTTGGTTCAACACTAACAACTGTGGATGTCTGACCTTGGTTCAACACTAACAACTGTGGATGTCTGACCTTGGTTCAACACAAACAACTGTGGATGTTTGACCTTGGTCAGCACTAACAACTGAGGATGTTTGACCTTGGTCTCCACTAACAACTGTGGATTTTTTTTCCCTGGTCACCACTTATAACTGGATTTTTTGACCTTGGTCACCACCATCAACTTTGGATGTTTGAAATTAGTTGATGTTAGTCAGTGGTTCACTTCCCAAGCATACGTTGTTTGATATTGACCTCTACACTAACATTTCTGTCTTTTGATCTTTGTTTACAAATGGTCATTTCTGTGTGATTGACCATAGGTCCTATCTAAATCAATTTATGGTTTGACTTTGGTTGATCTGTAGCTCCTGTCTAATATACTGTAACCAACATGATTGATGATTCAGTGTCATCAGAGTTGATTAAGAAAAGACAATCTGAGTAAAGCCTCAGGTCCCTTCAGCGAATCTTACAGGTAAGAAATAGATTAACAAACAATTTATGTTATAGTACAGAGAGTAATAGTTCCTAGATTGTACTAAAAGATGGTGATAAATTAGAATGATGGTTCATTAATGGAAGGAGGTCACCACAGCTGGTACCAGGTCTACCTCTCAGGCGATTGGGTGTGGCAAAAAAAGTCTGACGTTACAGTCTTATAGGTACCAGGTACAACTGTGAAAGTATTGTAATTTCTGTCCAAACATCCAGGTCTGTTGATTACGGAATCTGGTTTCAGGGTTGTACTAAGTCCTCATATTCATCTAGAAATAACTGTCAAGGTGATTTGGTTATGTGTTGTGTAGTATAGCACTCACTTGTGGATTAAAAAAAATTGATTAATATTTTGGTCCAAAAACACAAAGCTATCAAATGTAGCTGAACATATCACGTTAACAGTGAAATGCAGTAGCTATACATAAAGTGTAATGTTTACACAAGACTTGTTTACAGATATTTATACACAGAAGTTGAAAAGGCTTTTTGTGTATCTGTACTGCAGACTAGTACAATACCTTACATTGGGCGTGTGACTCTGAGGCATACAGACACGTGAACTCCTAACACATGTTTAACCAATATACCTAAAGTCATAATAGAGTTACATGTTAATGCAGTTATACCAATACACTACTTAAAAATTCATGATCAAATTTTGATGATACTTATGACTTGTTATTTATTTAACAGGGTTTGATGTCTGTGTGATGACCTCGTTTCAGTAGATGCAAGTATGATACTACTGCTGTGTGGTATTACTTTGATCTCATTATAACTTCCTCTTAAATTCATTAGTAGTGTTCAGTTACACCACACAATGAAAATAAGATAGAGAATTTGGCCAACAGTAATGATATGAGTCATTTAATACCAATAATTCAAATTTTAGTTGACATAGATTATTTCTCTTACTTCACACTGCTTAATATTACTTATATATTTAACTGGCTGTCCCAGTAGATTTCCTGCCCTACTTGTTGAACTGCTTGATATGTACTTTTTTATTCATGCAGTGAATTTGCCCTTTGATACATTACCATATGTCAATAATGTATTTTTTTGATTGGCTGAAATTAATAGTGATGTCATAAATATTGACAATAGATTAGAAGAGTGGAGCCAACATCAGTTTTAAAGTAAGTAGGTTGATCAGTGAAGTGCTGCGCGTTGGGTACGGATACCAAAAGGTATGCAGGGTGACGAAATAACATGAAATAAATGAATCAAGGTAGTTTCAATCACAACATACCCAAGCGTCACCAGTAAGTGAGTTATTTAATGACAGACTAGTTTCGTCTCTATAAGTGAGGCTTCATCAGGACAGCATTAAGACAATTTTTCACCCCTGAAGAACTTAAAATAGGGCTTGTTTTTACATTGTAACATCTAGTAAAGACATGTACAATAGAGTAGGGGCAGATAAGCCTTATCAGTAACTGAAATTAAGATCTATGAAATAATAGCGGGCATAACAGCCCTTACATTACGTTATAGTTCATGTATATGTTAGTATCAAACTGTTATATTATGGTGGCACCTGCACTCTATATTTGGATGAAATAAGAAGAAATAGAATAATTTAATTGTTTATTTTTTTAGTTATATGATAAAAAGTATCTTATTTGTTTTCATCTCATATGTGATTTCATGAGACTCATCTTGAAGTCTTGATATTTACAAGCATTGTCAAGGAAAAATTGAAACTTCTTTGACTCATTTCATGAACTTTCATATGAGATGAAAACTCATTAAGATTCTATATTCATAGGTTGAAAAGTATTATTACAAACTTGACTATAATATAGTGTAGACAATCACTTCTGTAATGGTTCTTTGTAAGTCATTACCTCTTACAGTTAGTAGCAATGAACGTGTATGTTGTTTTTGCTTGTGCTAGAGAAATGCACTCTTTATCAACAATACCCACTCACTTACGGCAGACTCATGAAGATAATCAAGTCGTAGATGTCTTTTGAAAAAACAGGCTTTGTTGCATAACTTTTCAATTATGAAAAAGTGCCAGAATTTTTTTTAGATTCTAATGTTGATAACATTTGTATGTTATTAAGACACTTTTCATACACTTACATATCTATATATATATATGAGGCCTTATTATATCATCTATATGAAAACATACCAAGATTAATAAGACCATTCTCTAGCTGGAAGGAAGAGGAGAGAAATCTCTACTTGAGGAGGAGATTCTTGATTGTCTAACCCAAGGTTTTGCCGAGTGTGAGACTGTCAGAAATCTCCTCTGAGGGTAGACATTTCTCTGTTCTACCCTCAAGGTAGGATTTGATCCTTTTTCTATCACTTTCCCCCCTTAAAAATAAATAAGCAAATAGATATACATGTGACACTATAACCTTCGGTATGTCATTTGCATTTGAAGCCCAGATGACAATTGTTAATGAACCCACCTGACCCCAACTCGTCATAAAAATGATCTCATTAACATTTACTCCAACCCTAAATGTCACTTTCAGTGTGTGCAGGCTGTCTTGCCAGGGTAAGATAGAGATATCTTACTCTCTCTGGAAGTGTGGATATTTCTGTCTGGTGCTGTAAAAGCATCAATCCAACATCCGCAAAAGAAAAAAAAAACAACAAAAATTAACTTTGTTGAAGGGCATCATTAAGATGAATATTACATTCCCATCATTTTACAGGGTGACATGTCCAATCCTTCAATATAGAAAGATCAATTATCATGATACCTCTGAAGATTTTCAGGGCCAAAGTGAAGGTCACAGTTACAAAAAAATGGTAGAAATTTCTACTCCATTGATATTGTTATGCATGGGAGTAGTGGCCATTTGGATGATGTCTCACAGACGCTTTCTTGTTCTGAATATTTTCGTTATTGTTCAGAATGTACATATCATAATCAGTTGTCTTTGTCATCAATCACCAGTTATGTTATAGTGTGTGGCAGATTCAGTATGTCAACTGCAACACAGCTGAAAATTAGGACAGAGAAAAGATTATTTTGTTTTGGGTTTAAAATCAAAGGATTGAAAAAAAAAATTTAGATGTGGAAGATTTGTAAACTGTGTAAGAAACATATATTAAAGTGACAGCTGCTATCTGTATTTGTTATTGTTCAGAATGTACATATCATAATAAGTATGTCTGCTGCAACACAGCTGAAAATTAGGACAGAAAAAAAAATGTTATTGTTGGTTTTTTAAACCAAAGGATTAGAAAATATATATTTATAAAGAAGCTTTTTAAACTACATAACAGACATGTATTAAAGTGACATCTGCTGTCTGTCTGATAAAACTTAATTCTGATCTGGTTCAGTCTGTTGTATCATGCGGCTCCAGGGGATTTTTAAGGAATATCCAGATATGTTGTCTGCATGTTATCATCTTTCATCAACCTACATTTTCTAATAAATGAGCTGAAAATGGTTTGTCCAGAATACTCAGCTTTTGATAAGCCAGGTTTCAAATAGGCCAAAATGGAATCATATATAAAGAAATTAATTAATGTTTTACTGCGTTTGAGAATATACACATAATTAGTTATTTCAAAATTCACTGAATTCTCCATAGACTGGACATCTCTGTTTCTCCTAAATTTTTGTAGATTACGAGTTTTCTATACTGATGATACCAGTCTTACAGAGTCATGTTTAATTACCATATAATGATCAATATGAAATTGATGATTATATTTCACCTTTGTCATTACATGTTCTGTTTTAAAAAGTTAGAGAGCAAGTATGGTTTCCTTAGTGGAGTAAAGTGAACATTCGTAATATCACTTTTCAGTTTTAGTTTTAAAATATCTTTACACCACATTTCTATGGGTGCTATCCCTTAGGTCTATACAAAGTAAAAGTTTAAGTTTGCAGTTGAATGAATGAATGGAAAAAGTATCATTTATCATAATTTATATGATATATACATCTGATGTGAGAGGTGGTTTTAAACAGAATTCACTGTATTGTGATCATTGACATATGGGATAATTCTTTTGATATAATCAAGAGGTCAAAAGTTTGAAAATTGGTAAACAACTTGTCAGAAAATCACAGATCAAATTGAGAATCTCTGATAGATATTGCTTTATTCCACAACAGTAATAAGAATTGAAATTCAAATTAACAAATATTTTATTTTTTTTATGTTTGCAGTTACTAAACTTATGGCAACAAAACAAGTACTTTGATACAGAAACCCTGGAGGTAAGTGACATATAAACTGTATTCATCATTTAATACCCATATTTTTCTCCCAGAATTGCATGACCAATTTAGAGTACAACTTACTTGTAGACTTTGCTTCTATCACAGACACAATGTAGAAGTTACAGATACTTTACCTACAGGTATTGTAGTAGTTACAGGTTCTTTACCTACATGTTTTGTAGAAGATACAGGTTCTTTACCTACAGGTATTGTAGAAGTTACAGACTCTTTACCTACAGGTATTGTAGAAGTTACAGGTACTTTACCTACAGGTATTGTAGAAGTTACAGACACTTTACCTACAGGTATTGTAGAAGTTACAGGTACTTTACCTACAGGTTTTGTAGAAGTTACAGACACTTTACCTACAGGTTTTGTAGAAGTTACAGGCACTTTACCAACAGGTATTGTAGAAGTTACAGGCACTTACTTACAGGTTTTGTAGAAGTTACAGACTCTTTACCTACAGGTATTGTAGAAGTTACAGGCACTTTACCTACAGGTATTGTAGAAGTTACTGACACTTCACCTACAGGTATTGTAGAAGTTACAGGCACTTTACCTACAGGTATTGTAGTAGTTACAGGTTCTTTACCTACAGGTATTGTAGAAGTTACAGGCACTTACTTACAGGTTTTGTAGAAGTTACAGACTCTTTACCTACAGGTATTGTAGAAGTTACAGGCACTTTACCTACAGGTATTGTAGAAGTTACAGGCACTTACTTACAGGTTTTGTAGAAGTTACAGACTCTTTACCTACAGGTATTGTAGAAGTTACAGGCACTTTACCTACAGGTATTGTAGAAGTTACTGACACTTCACCTACAGGTTTTGTAGAAGTTACAGGCACTTTACCTACAGGTATTGTAGAAGTTACAGGCACTTACTTACAGGTTTTGTAGAAGTTACAGACTCTTTACCTACAGGTATTGTAGAAGTTACAGGCACTTTACCTACAGGTATTGTAGAAGTTACTGACACTTCACCTACAGGTATTGTAGTAGTTACAGGTTCTTTACCTACAGGTATTGTAGTAGTTACAGACTCTTTACCTACAGGTATTGTAGAAGTTACAGGCACTTTACCTACAGGTATTGTAGAAGTTACAGACACTTCACCTACAGGTATTGTAGACGTTACAGGCACTTTACCTACAGGTATTGTAGAAGTTACAGGCACTTTACCTACAGGTATTGTAGTAGTTACAGACTCTTTACCTACAGGTATTGTAGAAGTTACAGGCACTTTACCTACAGGTATTGTAGAAGTTACAGACACTTTACCTACAGGTATTGTAGAAGTTACAGGTTCTTTCCCTACAGGTATTGTAGTAGTTAGTTACAGGTTCTTTACCCACAGGTATTGTAGAAGTTACAGACACTTTACCTACAGGTATTGTAGTAGTTACAGGTTCTTTACCTACAGGTATTGTAGTAGTTACAGACTCTTTACCTACAGGTATTGTAGAAGTTACAGGCACTTTACCTACAGGTATTGTAGAAGTTACAGACACTTTACCTACAGGTATTGTAGAAGTTACAGGTTCTTTACCTACAGGTATTGTAGTAGTTACAGGTTCTTTACCTACAGGTATTGTAGAAGTTACAGACACTTTACCTACAGGTATTGTGAATGTCATGAATAATTATATTCAAAGTTTATTTGAGGGTGACCTTGACCTTCATATATACAAGGTGAAAATTGTGATCTCATGTCGTGATGTGCATTATTTTAACCTGACACAGAAATCTACATGAAAAGTTGAAGATAAAATCAGAAATTATCGGAAAGCCATATATAGTGTTAGATAAGAAGTGAGTGTTAAGCCAGATGTTGTCCAAGATATATAAATGGACTGGATGTTTGAAGTGAAGCCTTGGGGTATTACTGGAGAGCAGATCACCTTGAGATTAATACCAGACATCAGTCTGATGGACTCCAGATCACAGTTAACAAACTCATATTTGCTGTGGATCGCTTAGCTTGGGATGGGTCTGCTGAAGTTTACAATTTTTTAATGATAGACAAGTTTGGTTCATTTTGTTTTTGAATTCTTGCACATTAAACAAGCTGTAAGTGAGGATCTTACCTTATTAGCAGTAGTGTTAGGAGTTTATTAAACAAGCTTTGTAATTCAGTTTGTCAGGCCTATACCAAATATTGAAGTAAGACGTTCAATTATTCCATATTTTATTTGCACTATCTTAAAGCTTGTATGTAAATCATATTTACATTTATGAGGAAAGTCTGTAAAACCCTGATATTGGTTTTCCTTTGGACCAATCAAATTTTGACGCTGAAGGTGTTTTCACTGTAAGTCAAACTATGTGATGTCATAAATAGATCTCCGAGCAGTGGGTGTTGAGAACAGTGCCAGAACAAAGTCTATTACTTGTAAGCTAACAGATGCAAATGTCATGCTAAGGCTTGTGTTGGGACATTGCAGGGCAGTTCCTGAACTTACAAGTACTGTAATGATAGACAGAAATAATGAAGATCAAAGTCTCAATCACATTTCACATGGAAAATCTACAGCTGGGTAAAATCAAACTGACATGTTTTTTGTGGTGTTCATGTCATCATGGATATCAGTTTCTACCATAATATAAAAATTAAATCATGACCTGTCCAAGTTTTTTTTTCCCCATGAATTTCCTAATATTGATGGTAGTATGTAGGGATATCTTACCTGTAGACAATTTGTTTATTTGGAATACCACTATAAGTCATTTCATCTAGTGGGTGTGTATGCTGGTAGTGTCCAGAATGCCTAAATCTGGCACTTTATGTGACAGGTACTTCCGTGTACTTCATATTGTAGACTCCATGGATCCGTTTCTTTGTCATTCTTGGTTATCTAGTATAATATCATACCAAGTTTTTGATTTTTTTATCCCTTCTGTTCACCTGTTTCTACAATTATAAGCTTTTCTTGTTGTTTTTTTTTATATCTGAAAGCCGTTCTTAATTTATTATGAAGTGGTTATGATTTTTACATCATTAAGTGGACGATGCTTTCCAGAGTAGGAGTCCCAGCTGATTTAGGTGTACCTTGTGGCAGTCCCAGATCTTTTTGTAGTAGTTCGGAAGATTACTTCGGTGATAGTTTAAGCACATTTTTATGTTGTTTTGACACTGTGAGGACCATGTCAGGAGACAGTTGTCCAGTATGTGTTAACGCTGTCCCTCCCACTGGCAATGCTCCTTGACCTCTCTTTATTACTCTCGGGAGTCCTAGTTATGGTTGTTTTGTTGTCCACTTATCTCTTTGTTTGTATGCTGGTGTCCCATCTCTTCAAGTTGTTAGACTGGATGTTATATGTGACAGAGTGCTTGGGGCAAGGTTTCTGCATTGATGGACGATCACATGATGTTACGTCCACGTTGTACAAAGAACCAAGATGTCTGTCGTCACTAATTCCGTGTATTCTAGGAGAAGTTAGTGATAAACATGTTACATCACTATAAATATAGATACTTGTAGTTGGATACAGTCGCTGTTGACAACAGTGTAAATGATGGATTGAAATCAGATATTATATAGCATGGTGTTAAATGTTTCTTTCATATCTTTATAATGGTATATATCTATTGTTACAATGTTCCTTTTCAATAAACATCAACAATCTGCTATGATGTAACCAGTACCATCAGTGACTCAGAATACCAGGTGTTACCCTGGAGTACCCTGGAGTATTCTCCTGGTACTTTATGTTGCCCTTGATTTGTCAATTTTGAATTTGAGTTTAGAATTTGTAATGTGTCAATATTCCTTTATTATTATTAATTACACAAAAATATCTATGTACTTTGTTATATTTTTGAAGACCTTTGATTGGAAAACTTTTAGCTTGTGGAGTTTTTTCCATGTAGGAGGAACTACTATTCAAAGTTATTTTTGTCACTGATAAAGAAAACATTTTGCCTTCTTGTATGTGTCATTTCTTCAAAATCAAGGCTGATCACCTCTTTGCAGTAGAGTGCCTTGGTGAAACAAGAAAAAAAAAACATAAGTAAAATTATGTTGGTATATTAGCTTGTTTGTTATATATGATCTTGCGGTATCTAGAATGAAGAAATGGTACTTCACTCAAAAACTTGACAGATTTGTAACTGTTAAGTTTAGCATCATTCCCTAATGAATTTGATCAATTATGTAGTGCTGAAAATGTTTTAGTTTATTTATTGTTAAGATGTATGAACAAACCCATCAAAATCAGCCTTTGCTTCCTCTGCATGTGATCAAATAATCTGTAAGTTTGAAGGCAGTGCAAAAAAAGTACTGTCCTGATTGGTCGAAAATGGTTTATGATAAAAGCAAACCTGTTTTTTGCTCTCACTATTTTGATTTTTATCATTTTATAGAATTTGAGGTCTGACTGCTGAAACATGTTGTGAATTAAAACAGAACTGACTATGAGACAGACCTGATTAGAAATTAGCATAATTGTGAACCCTGCTGAAGGAGCTCTGTCTACCTGAACAGACTATTAAAATACTGCACTGACAGAAAGCATCCATCAAATTGCTGCACTTTAAAACAGGAGAAAGTGAATTACATAATCTTGACATTACAATTGCTCCTGTGTGTATAATAAGTTAGATGTCTATGGTTTATAAGAGAGTATGTTCTAGATAAATGTGTCTAACTAAGGCTTATTTTACCAGTAGATAAAAGGATTTCTTGTACAATTTTGAATCATTAAGTAGTTTTTAGTATCTTAGTTTCATCAAATTCTTTTCCAACCAAGTCATTTTGTAAAAAACATTGATTACTCTTAGAATAGGCCTTTGATTCAACTGCAATGACATTCTAGGAGAATGATTTCCGTATAAATTTAGGGTACTAATTTGTACTTTGTCGGCTTCTGTCTCATAATTTGCAGTAATTAGATTAGATATTGTGAACAACATATAAGAATGAATCAGTAGTTTTATTAAATTTCTTAAAAACAAGATGAAAGCAGTTTGTCATCTGATTTGACTTTTTTATTG